GGGAAGGGTGCAGCTGGAACACAGAAGCCCCTAGTATCAAATGGAGGAGTCAGGGCTTATTTTGCCAGTGGTGGGAGCCATGGAACGTTTCTGTGTAGGACTATATATATCATTGCCCTTGCAGCATTTGGGCGCAGGTTGTGAACAGAGGATAGCCTGAACTTTGACCACTCTTCCCTCCATCCCTCCAAGGTCAGGGGTTGCAGGATATGGCTCCAAGTCACCTGCAAGATGAGCCTTGCCCCTGGAGAACAGATGCTGATGGCAATGGCCTCTCCTTCTCTCTGCAGGGCCTGGAGCAGTCCTCCCTCAACATGGGGCTGGAGGCCCAGAGGCTGCCAGGGGCCGAGGAGGCCCCGGTGAGGGTGGCCCTGTGAGTCCGCCCATTGCCGCCCAAGGAGCTGCTGCATGGGCATCAGAGTTGCCTGCAGGTGAAGCCAGGGCATGGCCGTGTCACCCTAGGCCACAACCGTCACTTTGGCTTCTACGCAGTGCTGGCTGAAGACACCGGGCAGGAGGCCGTGTACCAGGCCTGCGTGAAGCCCCGGTGTCTTGAGGCTTTCTTTGAGGGCTTCAATGCCACCATCTTTGCCTACGGTCAGACGGGCTCTGGGAAGACATACACCATGGGGGAGGCCAGTGTGGGTGAGTGATGCTGCTCATGGCCCCATGCCCCCTCTGAGGACCTCAGTGTCTTCCTGAATTTCTGTCCCTGCCCTCTTGCTGCCGTTCCCTGTTGAAGATGGGGATCCTGGGGGAGGACAGCAGATTTCCTAGACAGAGAGATCTGCAGCCCAGGATCGGATCAGCAATGTCAGTTGACTGGGCAGGGCAGGAAGGAAGGGTCATTGAAAATAAGTGACCTCAACTCCATAGAGGTGGGGCCACATTGCCTGGTTCTGGGGACCTCAGGGGAGGAAGAGCACTGAAAGTTGGTGTGTCTCTGGAGGCTGCCAGGATGGCTACTGAGGGTCCAGGAATCAGTGTTCTAGTCAGAGCAGTTGGGAATGGTCACTGTCTGTCCTGGAGGAGATGTGCTTTGGCTGCTGCATAGCAGGGTTGCAGGCTGGTTCAGTGAGACTCTGGGGCAGAGTTTTGAGAAAAGATGCTTTGGGTCAAAATGCATGAAGTAACATGAACTGCTTTCTCTTAGGTTACTGTCTTATTCAGGCTGCTATACCAGAATACCATAGACTGGGTGGCTTATAAACCACAGAAATTTATTGCTCACAATTCTGGATGTTGGGAAGTCCAAAATCAAGGTGCAGGCAGATTCTAGGATTGCTTCCTCATAGATAGCCTCCTTTTCTCTCTAACCTCATGTGATGAAAGGGACAAAGGCTTTCTCTTTCAGGCCTCTTTTATAAGGGCACTAATCCCTTTAATGAGGGCTCCACCCCCATGACCTAATCACTTCCCAAAGACCCCCACTTCCTAAAACCAGCACATGGGGTGGGTGGGTGGGGGGACAATTTTAACATATGAATTTTGGAGGGACATAATATTCAGACCATAGCAGTTACAAAT